GAGGGAGCCACAGGAGGGCGGGGAAGCGGGCGGAGAGCTACTGGAGGGTGGCAGCGAGCTACTGGTGCACAGATTCGTGCACAGGGCTACTAGTGGAATCATAAGTAAGCACAATTTTGCAGTAGATTTTCAATGACTTTAATGATCCTTCAGTGGGTTGAATTACAAAGGAACCTTTCTTCAAGCTGCTCTTAGGTGTCCTACAAGATAGCCCATTGTTGTAAGAATTGGGAGAGATGACTAAGTTTGGGATAAGCCTTCCTTAATTTGAATTATTTTGAATTTCAGAATGCTCTCTTGCCTATTATCATGAATGCTTTTTGTTATGTCTTTACTGTAGGTTATTTAGAAAAACATGGAATTTCAAGTATTAAAAATCTTTAATTCTGACTCTTGGATTATCAAGTCATGTTTTAGGCTATTCTGTCTGTTCCTTTATGTAATGAATAATATTTAGTTAATATCAGCATATCTAACATGATTTCTTATGTTAATTTTTCAAGTATTTTGAGCATGTCAGAAATACCATTTGCCAGATACCATTTATTCAACAAATAACTGAAGAGTATGTTTTGGACATTAAAAATACAAAGGCAAGCCCTGACCAGTTTGGCTCAGTGGATGGAGTGTCGGCCTGCAGACTGAAGGGTCCCAGGTTCGATTCCAGTCAAGGGCATGTACCTTGGTTGCGGGCACATCCCCGGTAGGGGGTATGCAGGAGGCAGCTGATCGATGTTTCTCTCTCATCGATGTTTCTCTCTCATCGATGTTTCTGGCTCTCTATCCCTCTCCCTTCCTCTCTGTAAAAAAAAAAAAAAAAAAAAATCAATAAAATATTTTTTAAAAAATACAAAGGCAAGACAGGCATTGATTTGGACAAGAACTGTGAGTCACAAAGCTCAAACTTTAGGAATGTGAAGGTGATCTATTCCTTCACACACACAGACAAGGTGCCTCACTAGGATTCTGAAAACTTTCCCCCAAATAGCAATACGCTATAGTTAAATTATATAATTATGGATTCGAGATTTCCTTCTTTTTTCTCTTTTATTCCTTTGTTTTTTGTTTTTGAGAGGGCTTTCCTAACATTTAACAAAATGGGTGGCTTTCTAAGCACAAAACAATTTACATTGTTAGCAATGAAATGTGATTTTTAAATCCCCGAGAGGCCTTTGTGCACTGTTGGGTATTGATACTTTTACCAAAAAAGATGTCTTAAGTTCTTAAACAAATTTTTTTTAAAATATATTTTTATTGATTTCAGAGAGGAAGGGAGGAGAAGAGTAGAGGGGGAGAGGAGAGGAGAGGGAGAGAGAGATAGAAACATCAGTGATGAAAGAGAATCACTGATTGGCTGCCTCCTGCTCGCCCCCTGGCTGGTTTGGCTCAGTGGATAGAGGATCGGCCTGCTGACTGAAAGGTCCGTCCCAAGTTTAATTCCAGCTAGGGCAGTTATTTTAATTTTTAAGAAAATTAATGTATCTGCAAATAGATGCAGTATAGGAAAATGAATTTTTATTTTTATTTTTTTATTAATCCTCACTGGGGATATTTTTCTGTTGATTTTTAGAGAGGGAGAGGGAGAGGGAGAGGGACATATTGATGTGAGAGAGACATCATTGGTTACCTCCCACATGCTCCCTGACTAACTGGGGCCAGGGCCTGCAACCCAGGTACATGCCCTTGCCCAGAATCGAACCTGTGACTTTCAGTCTGCAGGCCAACACTCTGTCTACTGAGTCAACCAGCTAGGGCTGGGAAACAAATTCTTAGAAAACCCATTTTTTGACAAGCTTTCCTTTATTATATCCATGGTGTACATGGGAGGAAATTTAATCAGTTGCTGCAGGAGTGAGCTGTGCACAGCCTGGAAGGGGGAGTCCCAGGCAGAGACTTTGAAGGTAGGACCATTTCACCACAGAGGACAGCACTGGGGAGTCTGCTTGGAGCAGAGCGGCCAGGAGGGCAGTTGGAAGCAAGGGCTCGTCAGGCACTGCTTGGTAGGAGCTGGGGAGTCCTTGGCTTCTACTCTGAGTGCGGTGGATAGTCCTTGCGGGCTTTTGAGCAGAGTGCCAGGCTCTGACTGAAAGTTTTAGAAAGAACCTGATTGTTGTGTTGAACTACACTGTAGGAAGGCAGATAAGCCGGTGGCTACTGAACATAATCCAGAGGCTAGAGTTGATGGTGGATTGGATCTGGGTGGCAATAGCCATGAGGATTCTGGATTCACATTGCCCAAGGATTCCCAGTACAAGGAATAGTCAACATGGGACCAGGTCCAGAGGAGAGAATTCCTGGTTTAGCTCTTCTGAAGATCCCACGTGACTTCGACTATTCTGTTCTGATTCTACCCTCTTGATTTCCATTTCTTCAAGGATGGGTTTAGAAAGAGGTTTTGGTGAAGCCCCCACAGGCATTCCGTTACCTTGCCCAGTGTGTCTATGACCACAGACAAGGGTCTGATAATACAAGAACTTGATACTTATAGTTTACCTGTTTATATTTTTCATCCCTCGTCCATTTTTCTAAACTAATTAGTCTTAAAACAAGACTATGTGATAGTTTGGGGACAGAAGGAGACTGTCTAGTTCCACAGCTCGGCTTTGGGCTGGCAGTCTTGAGTGACAATAATTAGGAAGAGCAACTGTTTTAAGACAGGGTTCTGTGTTGAATATGTTTGAAAGACAGAATTTTCATTGTGGCCTCCACACACCACTAAAAAGTATTTAGATTTATTTCACTGAATTTTCCCCCATGTTTGAATTGTATTTTAAACTTTAGTTTGTTTTCTGTTTAAGATGCCTGCCATTAGGATATTATAATTAGGTAATAAAGTATGAAAACATGTCAGTTTTAGATTAAAATGTAGAGGTTTTTTATTTAGCTATTTTAAATTAAGCTCTTCTATCTTAATGCTCATTTATTGTGTGTTTTTATTCCAGCAAAAGACAGATCTTTATTACCATTATTACATCGAAATCACTTTTCAATTGTATTAGGTACTTCACATGATTTCAAGTATGGCCTGATGCCTGGCCCATCAAGTGATTTCAAGTATGGATTGCTACCAGGTACTTCAAACGATTTCAAGTATGGATTGCTACCAGGTGCTGCAAACGATTTCAAGTATGGATTGTTGCCTGAATCTTGGCCAAAACAAGAAACTTGGGAAAATGGCAAGTATTAGTCAACTAAACATGTACAGAATTATTCTGAGTTGTGGTGTTTTGGGTGTTTTTTTTTTTTAATCAAGACAGTAGTAGCCCTGTAATTGTCCCTGTTCTCAGGGATAGGTAAGCTTTTGAGAGCAAGTTTTCTGTTTTATATATAAGTGCTTTTCTGTGTTTTTTTTTTATTTTATTCTCAAAGGTGAATCATCTCTAAACATGAACAAGTTAAAATGCCCTCATTGTACCTATGTAGCCAAATACAGACGAACACTAAAAAGGCATTTGCTCATTCATACGGGAGTCAGATCCTTTAGCTGTGATATTTGTGGAAAACTGTTTACTCGCAGAGAGCATGTAAAAAGACATTCCCTGGTAAGTAACTTTAAATATAACTGATCTTTGAGCTAAACTATGTTTATGTCAGTAAAGTTTAAGGCATATTAGCACTGTTACTGCAGTTTTAAGGAAGGCTGATTATTAATAGCTTTAAACAAAGAGTATGACTTATGGTCTGATACTGAGCCTCATACAGCAAAAATGGTATATTGACTCATGGTTCAGCTGGTGATTTGAGTGGTTCAAATGCATTCAGTTGTTTATACCGTCCTTATTGGATTTTTCCCCCCTTCAATTAGGTGCATAAAAAGGATAAAAAATACAAATGTATGGTGTGTAAGAAGATCTTCATATTAGCTGCCAGTGTTGGAATCAGACATGGATCTCGACGCTATGGTATTTGTGTAGAATGTGCAGATAAACCACGGCCAGGAAGGCAAGAAGGTGTAGATCAGGGACAGGAGACAGATTTCCCTCGGGATGAAGAGTACGAGGAGAACGAAGGGGGAGAAGCCGAAGAAGAGCTGGCTGACGAGGGAGACGATCAGAACCACCCGTCACGATGGGACGAGTTGGGAGACGTCTGTATGTCTCAGGATGATTAACTGGCCTACTCTGCTCCTCAAGGATGCTGCATTGGGACGTAATATGAAGCGACAATTTGAATTGTTGAACTTGAAGGCTTGCAAATATGGTACATGCTGGATGGTAGTTAAGTTGCTGTGAAAACTGTAGGGTCAAAGCCTTATAGCAAAATTTTTTTATATTTGCACAGGACTGGACAGCAACCAACCTTGTGGTTGGATTACATGGAGTCCCCACATTTTCAGTCAGTTATCAAAGTAAAAATATTTTTTATTTATAGGATATACAGTAACTCTTTGGGTCCTAATGAAAATGGATTACCTGTCTGTAAAGAGCTGACGTTTACGTACCAGTTTAACCGGAATGAAGAAAATCCAGTTACGAGAATACAGTGACAGCTGGCCCAACTACACTGTCCACCAAACCACTCAGGCTAGTTTGTACTAGTAGAGTTTTGTTTCTATTTTTATTTTTATTAATTTTATTTTTTTTAATACAGATTTTCAGTGAGGGGCCTTTTCAACCCCATTGGTTGTACTTTTCTGTATTTTCCATTTTGATTTGCTTCATAAGTTAAACCAAGTCTCTTCTAGTCTTAGGTATTATTTCTCAATTTTGTGCTGATGGGCATGTTTATAAGAACTGGAGAGGTAATTTATTGGAATGAACTAATTGACTTCCTCCATTCCCCCTTCCTTTTTGACATGAATTTTACTACTTCACAAACGAAGAATGATGTTGCAAAGTTACCGTGACGAAGTTGATAAATACCACTAAATGATTATGATTTAGAAGTCACTTCCTCTTGCTGCTCTAATCTGATAAAATGGTTCTACATGATGTTTTCTGACATGGTATTCGGTTTTGGGTATCTGTTACTTTGGCACTATTCTTGTTTGCCTTTTTTTATTTTTGCCAGTGTACTATACCTCAGTCCTATTTGAAAAGACAGAAATCTGATCGAAAGAAGAGTCATAGAAACAATAAGTAAAATGATTTGTTTTATGATTTATCCTCCATGTCCAGTTTGGTTAGCTTGTTATGCAATATAAGTGAACTATCAGGTTTTTACTCTTGTGCCCTTTTACCATTAAAATTAACACAAAAATTGCATTCTCTTTTGTTTCATATTTACTGGGATATTCAGTGTTTTAAAATTATGATAGACAATTATTTTTTTCAATTCCTTAGTCACTACACCTTGGTATGCAGTCTTTCTAGTAGTCACCTTGATTCAGTGATCTGCAAAAGTCTTACAAATAAAATATTGAGGCTTTACAATTTATGATTAACTGAATTTTTCAGGATACAAGAGGTGATATATTATAAAGTAGAAATTGTCAGGTTTATGTAGCCTGATGATAGATGAATTAGCTAATTGTAAGACAGCAAGATGTCACATAATTAATATTAATGTGCACAACATTATCAGGAACATATTGTATATTATATCGAGTGAGGGATATCAAACTTTCAGCTTTCTTTTAAATAGAGATTGAGCATATTTTCCTGCTGTGTGGTGCTCCATTTGATCAAGGGTGAAACATTGATACTTTTCTAAGAGATGCTTTCTCATTATCTTTGATTTCAGTAAAATGATTTCAGTAAAATGATTTCAGTAAAATGATGCTTAAATGTTAGACATCAATGTTTCTGCCCAGATAAATCAAAGATATAAAGTACAGTTACATGGTCAGATGCATCTTTCATTATCTAAACTTTATTATAGTTTCTACATAACTGTAAAACTGACACGAATAGTTTTGGTTTGATTTTTAAGACTGAAGAGTACATCTTATTCTCAATGTTCTAGGTAAAGGAGTAAAATGTAGTTCTGGTGGGGTCCAAAGTAGACGTTAGTTGGGTAAAGATACTATGAATGAAAAAGTATTTTAAGCATAAAATGTTCTGCATTGTGAATATGTAAGTATAGTATAAAGATTTCTTTCATCCCATTTATCCCCCTCCTTTAAAATAAACCATAGTTTACAATCGGTAGATCTGTCTATATATAAATATATATTAAAGAGAAAAGATATATATCTGAAAGTTGCTAAATCTGCTTTATTAGACTGCAGGTCACTTATTGCATAGAAACTGGACTGGGCTTTACACTCTAATGTACTTTTTACTTTTCCCAAGGTATGAACTTATTCTCTTTAAGTTGAATTTTCTTTACTACTTAAATCATTTATGTATATCTGGTAAATTATGACCAAATTTCTGTTAGATTGCATACAGTAAATTGAAATACACATGTGGTACACTACAGGATTGTTGTGCTTTTGCTTGGTTTAGTTGGAAGCAAAGTTTGATGTAGATGGCTTGTTACTGTTAATTTAAGATATTCTATGATTGTCCATTACTTTTTATGTTGTGTTATGACAGATCGGACTATATTACTTTACCATATTGTTTTTAGAAAGGCAATCCAAAGGAAAAATGTTTATACTCTTGAATATATTAGCCTCAGCCTATATAAAAGTTTCTTCTTTAAAGTAAGCGTTTCACAAGAAACAGAACTGACAAACTTTTTTACTTGCTGACTCCCTAATTTATTTTGTTCGATGATCTTGAGGGACTGCCTTTACCCTTCTAGATCATTTTTAAAAACTAGTTTTAGTACTAAGGTATACTACTGGATGTTTCTATTTTTTTAAGTATGTTCTTTTTCTGACTTACAGTACAAATTCAGGAAGTTGAGATGCTAAGAACTTAGGGTTGGTCTCCCAGGTAACAACGAAATACCCATAGTTTGGTCTGTGGGGCCCTGGCAGAATTGTGTGTAACACATTTGCTGAATTTTTCTCTCATAACTTAAAATTAAAAATATTTCAGAGCTTTTAATTTTAATGAAGGGGAAGAGCATGAACTGCCTCTCTGCTGTTCACTGTAGTACAGACCCTCTCAGATAAATCAAGGTCATACACTGTTTCTTAGGCTTCTGACAGTCACCGCTACACGGTCCCCACACTGTCATTCAGAGTTTGGCCCTCATTTTTCATAGTCACTAGATGTTTTGCTAAATTTTAGTACCACAGCAACTAAGCTGAAAAAAGAAGAGATGTTACAGGAAGGGAAACTGAACAGTCATGTAGCTTTGAAATTTGGGGGAAAACATTCACTGGTTTGGGTAGAGCCATCCTGATGAGGAGAATGAGGTCATGTGTAGACTCTTGTCAGATGCTTAGAACACTGGCAGTTGTTCAGTAATAGACGGGAACCAAGAGGAAAAGAAGGAACGAGGAAGGGGGAAGAGAGAAACTCTATCACTACAACATAGTGTCAAAGGCCTGAAAAGAACTGGAGCAGTGTAATCATGGAGAAAGTATGATGAGATGGGTTTTTAAAATCACAAATTTTAAAACTTTGATAAGCTTTACTTATATTTTTAGGACTTTGTCAACATAGAATGAAGAGTTTATTTTTCTGAATAATGATTCCAAAAGCTACCATTTTTTAGTGCCTACACGTGCCGTTGCGCTTTATTTGATCTGTTCTCTCTAAGGTAGGTGCTATTGTCTCCATTTTATAGACAGGAAAGGCTCCCAGCGGCCGCCTGCTGGCTGTAGCAGCCGCAGGGCCAGGGCCAGGGCCAGGCCGAGCTGCTCCCACCACCGCCTCCTCCGAGCCCGGCCCTTCTGGAGGCTCCACTGGGCCTCATGCAACAGCTTTTGTAGAAGTTCACCCTTTTAAGGAGTCCCCTGTGGAGACACATTTCCCTTAGAACAGCTGTTCGGAATCTAGCGTCTACGCCTTTCTCTCCGCTGTCCCCAGGTGCACATCCTCCCTACCTTCCTCCTGTGCAGCCATCGCTGCACCACCTGCCTACAAACCAGGCACCCAGCCTCAGTGCGGCATTTCATTTTTCAATGAAAGAAACATGAACCCCAGGTCTAGTGCCGTTCAGTCACCCAGATCCTTAAACTTAAACATGGTCCAGGCGTCTCTGAGTCCCTTTCGGGTGAGACGGGAAGCTTTGCTCCTGCTGTGGCCCTGCCTCCCGGCGGGGGCAGCTCTAGGCAGCCAGGCTGTGTGGGGGGAAGCTACAGGAAGCCCTGCCGTGGGACCCTGGGGACTTAGCTGTGGATGGAGTACACTGGCTACTGGAAACACCGTTTTGGGTTGAGGAGAGGGGTGGTTGAGGCCATTATGAAATGGGAGAATCAGCATTTAACACTGTAAACATAGAAAGAACACTTTCTCTGCCTGCTGTTTGTAAAAGCTCTTTGGGAAGATCTTTTACGAAGACCAATTTTTAAATGTAACTTACCTACCTAGTATAAGTGTCCTAAGACATGTATGTAAACTTCCAAGACTGTTTGTCCGTGTATTTAGAAAATACACAAGAATCTTTATCAAACCTAAAAATATAAACTTGTGAGCACTAAACTGCTTCTGGCTTGTGAATTTTGTTGACTCTTGATTTTTTCATTCAGTTTTTTTGCAATCAAAGTGTACACAATTAGACTAATTGGGGTGGGGGACACCTTTGTAAACTTTGACATGTATAATTCAGATATCTTTGTACTTGAGGTTTAAAGTTTGAATTATATACTATTTTAAGGGTTTTTGCTTGTGTATTTTTATATGAAGAGAAGTGCACGAGCCCCACCAACTACCTCCTTGCACTGCGTGGAGAGCTGCTCTGGAGCACAGAGTGGCTCTAACCAGCACGTGTCCCATCATGATGACTTGAACATTTCTCTACAGGTTTTAGAAACATTAAAGTATTTCCCCTGTGATTAACACTTGTACTTTGGGGAATGGGTTGAAAAGCAAAGCTCAATCACGTTATCCCATATTTACTGCATATTAGTAGGTTAATGGATTATAAGTAGCTATATAAATTTCACGTCTTTAAAACTTGAGTAATATGAGAAAACATACTAACTAGTTATGTAGGTTTTTGTGGTGTTAGCAGAACAAAGGAGATCACAGAAAGGACCAGCCGGTCAGGCTTGGCTGAGGGATGAGTCACGATTTAGTTTGGAGAACGGCGAGCTGAAGGCGGGTGGATGCCCATGTAGCATGTAATGCCCGCCCCAGGAACTGTCATGAGGCAGAAGAATTGGGTGCCTTCACTGCGGTTCCAGGGCTTAAGCCGAGACCACTTCCCAAGATGAAAAGGCAGTTTTTAATAATGACCCAGAGATGAGATGGGATTGCTTCAGAAAAGTCCCCACGTGCACTGGAGCTGTTGTGGCTGCGGCAGGATGGGCCAGCATTTCTATGGAAGGGTCTGTGCTGTAAGGGCTCAGTCTGTCTTAACGATCTGACTTCTGTACTAAAGAGGGAAAGAAAAAGGGCGCCACAGGATCTCTGTTACGTGAGCTAAAGGGGAGGAAACTGCTTCCTCACGCCCTGTGCCGTCCTTGCTGTGCACCCACCGGACCTTCAGCCAGGCGTTTTTCTTTTTTCCAGCACAACCAGTTTGGCAATAGGAAAGCATCGATCTTCCCGCATAATTAGGGGTGTGTGAGAATCTTAGCAAAAGACTCTTACTTCTTGGCACACGTCCCAACAGCTGGAAAGAGAAAACTATATAGCATGGTTTCAGGGTAATTGTGGAATTTTTTTTAGGTTGAAAGAAACTTTAGGAGTAATAATTGATTCCCAGACAGGTTGCTATTGTGACTTTGCCATGAATTTCAGGACCCAGGGCCCCTGAACTTCCATTGTAATTCTTCCCCTACATCAAACATATATTCAGTATGTACTTTAGGTTAGGGAAAACTTTGAAATTAGAAACTACAAAGTATATTCAAATATAGTACCTGGCACATAGTCTGAGCTCAATATTAAGTGAATGATTATTTAAAAGATATCAAGAACTTCAGGATTTTTGCCTGCTAGTATCTAATGGCTTGTAGCTGTCAAGCTATATTTTATTTAGAAGTAGTTTGTGTTGTCAAGCACAGGATAGATAGGATCACACATCCTGGACCCTCGGGACCCTTTTCCCCAATACACCCATAGGTGACCATAGCCAAAGACAGTGACCAAACCCAGTCTAGCAAATAGAGATCTCAATGCAAGAGTCTTAAATGTACACCATCTCCATAACTCAGAATACTTAGTGACAAGATTATTGGTGGTTTGCTGCAAAATACTGGTTTTGAAATGATTAGTGTGGCCAACACCAATGCAAATGTCAGAACTCGGTCTGTGAGGAAGATGTGGAAAGCGGGAAGGAAGCCCATGGAGCTGGTTCCTGGTGCAGCGGGGAGTGCACAGCGCATCCTGGAGGTGCTGGGTCGGAGGTGTTAGTTGCCATATTGTGAAGAGACATGTTAGGTGGTGGCATTTACGTTTTACCACATGAGACCAGCCTCTTGTGAAGGATTTGTGGAGCTTAGTACTTGTCGCCCGCCCCCTATCTTAACTCACCCACTTGGGTTACTAAACTGGGATGGTGGTATTTACATAGAGACACGAGCAATTCTCCAAAGTAGGTTACACACCAATTGTCAAGTAATTGTCCCCTAAATCATTAGATAAAACAACTAGCTCATTTCAAAGAATAGCAATTACAGAACCGGATCAGCCTCCGAGAGGACTAGTCCATGGCCGCATCTTCATTGTGACAAAGGAAACTGAAGACATTATTTAAAGACGACATAAACAGCTAGTTTTATATGTGTGTAGCTTCTCTCATCAGTGATCATAAATGTGCCTCCATTTAAGATTTTATTGCATAAGTTTAAAGGTGTCGGTTAGAATCCTGCAGTTGCCTCTGGAAGCAGGGACGGCCCTAGGCTGTCTGTCGGCTCTTTGCTGCTGTTGGCGACACAGCACGCTCGGGAAGCTCCCTTTCAGTCGTGGGCACACATGTTTAAACGGATGCATGTTCAGTGCCTGTGACGGATAATGAGGTCACACCGAACACTGCTCTCAGCTGTTCTGCAAGCCATTGGGATGGGGAAAGAGACAAGTTTCGCCACGCAGGGAACTTGATCAAAAAGGCCCTTCATTTCCGAGGTTTTGAAAAGCAGGCGTAATTGGGAGGAGTGGACAGGTAGGATGACTGAAAATAGAACCATGCAGATGGAGGTAAGCCAGTGCACACACAGCACTTGAATTCATTGTTTCCCCTTCAACATAATAAAAAGAATACTTTCACCTTGAAAATATATCGAGTTTTTTGGGGAAAATACCCATAAAATTTTTGCATGGACCATAATATTGACTTAACTGGCAAACAGAAATGTTATATTACCCATTTGCATCTTTTTCTGGGACAGGAATACAGGACTTTCTAGGTGCCTCCTCGTCTCGCTCTGCTGGACCACTCTTTAGGACTAGACAAGCTCTTTCAGAACCCGTGGTACTCGGGTCTGCCTGCAGGAAGGGCCTTGGACCTCGCAGAGCCTTCCTGTCCAATAGGCAGTGCGGTGAGAGCATGTTTGTTCCCCGGAGGTGCCCATTAGGAAAAGAACAGCACCTCCTCTCAGAGGATGAAGCCAAGCTGAGTCCCTCCCAGGCGGTTAGTACGGAAAGTGGTAGCTAAGTACCTCCCCTCAGTTTTCATCAAAGCATATTTGCACCTCGCCACAATCTCTTACCTGAGCGTTCAACCCACTCATCTCGTGTTGTGTGTGTGTTGCGGGGGGCGGGGGGTAGTTTTACAGTTTGCTTTCAGTAGGATTCTGAGTCAGCAGGCTTGTTCTGAGAGGACCAGAGAATAAATACTTTTGGCTTTGTGGACTACAAGGTCTCTGCTGGTGTACCACGAAAGCAGCCAGAAACTGTACATGAGCAGCACGGCTGTGTTCTGATAAACTTCCCTTGGACATGAGGCTGCGGGCTGCTGGCCCCTGTCCTGAAGTTCTCACTACACCATCTCCCCACCTTTCTGTCCTTGCAGTACAAGCACTGAAGAAGGGTACACCTTCTTGACGTCAGCGAATTCTGTCCTGTCCAGAGTTACAGATCTAGAGGAGCAGCAAGAATTAACACCGGTGGCATCCTTTTAGCCGAGAAGGGGGCTCTGATTAAACAGTCAGACCTTCATAAGAATTCCATTAAACCCCACATCCCAGTACACAAGGTGCCCCTCCACATGCCCTGGTGCCTAAGTAATAAATAAGAAGAGACGTAAGAAGAGACTTTCACTTGCCAATAAAACTGTCTTTCTAATTCTAGACCCTTCATTGCCAGTGTATCCTGTGTTAAACGATATACTGGCAATAAAGAAGCCTTTCAACCCTAATTACACACCATGACATTGACTTTCTGTAGCCTCAGACTCTCATTGATACCTGCGTTTATAAAAGGTGTCAGTAAAGTGGACTGTCAGTTCTTTGGCCACAGCCTGAAAATGCTGAGCTTGTGAGGAACTAACCAGCATATCTGGCCTGAACAAGTCTCTGCTGAAATGAATTCCCCAAACCAAAGACTAGCCAGCGAACCTGGAAGCCTGTGACACTGTTTCAAGCACATGACTCCCCATTGTGACCCACTGAGGACAACCTGGTGGCCTTTGTGTCACTCGGTCTCTCGCAATAGGAGGCTCTCACTCACATGTCACATTTCTATGTGGAGCAGGGCTGAGATCTTACTCCACAGCCTGTGTCGCCAGTTTGACTCATAAACTAAAACATTTCAAGACAATTTAAATGTTGATCTAAAATAGTTTCAATAGTTTTTCAGATTAAGATTAAAATTAATGAGAACAAATGGTCCGATGCTAAGGGATTAGAAAAGTTTTGTTACTGTTCTCACGGGCTACTGCACCGTCGGGAATGTCGGGTCTACTCCGAAAGGACACCTGATGGACTCAAAAGCACGTGGGCACTTAACGCTCCCCCCGGGCACTGCAATATAGACTGAGCTTCAATATCTGAAGGAACTACCCTCTTAAAGGCCGAGAATGACTGTTGGCTGACTCCTCACCTCTTCAGCGTTTGGCACTGTTCATGACTAATTTCCTTCGACTCCTCTTTTGACCCCATAAGCATGGTATTCCTTTCATTCTTTGAGGGGCACTCTCCCAGCGTTCTTCCCGTTGGTGTTCTCATTCAGTCCCAAGTGATCACAGTGACTTCAGTCTTGGTGACATTCATCACTGACCACTCTTCAAGTTTACAAATATTTGTGTAATAACCCCATGCACTGTTTGATGCACAAAGGAATTTTAGTCACAATCCTAATTAGGGCCTCGGTTCTTTCATGAGCAGAAGGGTCTTTAGATTTACATTCTACTGTATGGAGTCTTGCCATGAGCTGAGACAGCCTGGCAAAGTCGCCCTTAGAAGAATTAAAACCGTGATTTTAATTCTTTCTCCAGCCACGTCCACACTGTTTGAGAGGTGGTGTCTGGCTGACTTTTATTCTGTCATATCAGCACGTATGTACCTCTGCTAACTACATAGACTCATGGGATGTTTGAA